CCAGCTCTCCCCCACACAGCGTCTCCGCCGAGGCTATTTCCACAGCGTAGAGCGCGAGGGCCAGTGCAAACAGCAGCACGCGACTGGACGAAGACATCTTCTTGACCTGCAGGCAACAGAAAAAACACACATTTTCACCATGAAGCAACGGGCCATCAATTGAGAGCACAGAATACCGAAGTCATCAACATATAATTATCATATGACAGCCAGATGTTGCCTATACGTTTTGGTAAAAGAGGAGCCCCTCTTTTAACATTGGCATGCTTGAAACAATACGTATAATTCCAGTGTATACCATGGACCAACTAACTCAGAAAGAAGCCAATTGCGTGCAACCAAATGATGTCAACTGCACATCCACCCCCCCTTCAACTGTATCACCCGCTGTCATTGTGTTGCACCTGAAGAGAAGTGCTTATTCTTAGGGGGAAAGTAGACGGTATCTCTGCCGTTCACAACCCTTACACAACTCCCCCAGAAGTTGCAAGACCGGCCTGCTTCGACAGTTAACTATCTGAAAAGCCAGACTCAGCATATATTTTCCCCTTGCTCACCCTGTGGTGAGCTCACTGACCCTCAGACCTACCGCCCCCTATCTGCCGAATCAAAGACCAGCTGTTTGCTCCGAATCCAGTAAGCGGCGCACCGTCCAGATGGGAGAAGAATCAAATACTTCTCAACCCGTTTCTCGTTTTCTATCATATCAGGCAACCTGTTGCACAAATGCTTCAAATCTTCAAGCACACTCAATGTCATTTGTGTATCTTGAACTTTCTCTTTTGCAGCATGCAAAATTAAAACACATGTCCGGTTCTCATATTGCACAAAAGAAAATGATGCGATCAATGCATCTGCTCAGCCCGAGGCGGTATCCCACTTACAGCGCCAATAAAACATGGTTAAAACCCTGCCAGAGGTCTATGAATACACGCGCAGCACAACCGGAGAGTGTAAAACTATTTGTTCCCTCTGGTTACCTTCATTCTGCTGCTCTCCGTTCTCTGGCAGGTGTGGCAAATTGATTGGTGTCCGTGTCTTTGCTGGGTCTCCATGTCAGTTTGGCAGTAGTCAAAATGTAGGGGTTATTTGGTTGGAAAGGTTGCAGGTGAGTTAGTTTCCCCAGTTGGTGAATCTATTGAGATGATGTGTGACGACGCTGTCCCAAAAGACCAGGCGACAGGCAAAACTTCACTGTGAAAACTAGTATATACCAAACACGCCCCTTACACCCACACCACACCCCTCGCTCCTCCTCTTCACTGCTGGTTAAAAAAAATGGTCCAGGGACGTTTTATGGAAAAGTGCTTAAATGGGGAGAAAAGGCTAAAGAGAGGGAGAGAATGAGAGTTACAAAATATGGAACAATTCCATAGGCATTTTTCCACGTTTACGCACTGTAACCTACAATCACAATGTTTACACACAGGATGCAGACTGAACAAGAATAGACGTAATTCCTTAGACTCCAAGAAAAATGTCAAAGTGTCCGCCCTGCTGTAATTAAGATTAACATTCAGAGTGGAAGAAGTGTGGCCATGGTCTGCGGCTCACTGACTCAGGTATGGATGCAGTCACCGGGTGAGTGAATGTTGATTAGTAGGTTACCTGAAGGCAGCAGGATGATGCAGCAGCAGCATGAGTGGCTGGTGCAGAGTAGTCAACTGTAAATGCTGCATCTTTGGAGGAAGTGAAAAACTAAATATTAATAATAATTTATATTTATATATTTAAAACTGTCAATGCATCACTCATACTGTGGGTGACTGTTTAAATACCAGCAGGAAAAACAACTCTAGTTGTACAATAGACACAACAATGTCCTGCATGCATCAAGCTCCAAAATGTCATTTTACATAAAGGTAAGCTTTTTCTTTTTTTCCCCTAACACTGTTTGAGGGTTCCCTTATGTAAGTGGGGCTTCTGCAGAAGGTAGGGATGCGGACATGTCTTCAGACTCAGACTGACACCTAGTGGTCCTGGGAGTGAACCGTTTGTTTGTCTCGCAGCCTTCAGCAGGTTGGTTGCTCATCAGAGAGTACTGAACAGCTGCCCACTGATACCTGAACACCAGGACAGGAGCTCTGTCCGGACAAATCCCCCAAGGTTGGTTCGTTAAAAGCATTCATTTATTCTCTAATGAATATTCATAGACAGTACTTTTCCTAATTGTCCACAATAGCACATTTATAATGTGGGTCCAATTGGTGATGATGAGCTTGCATCCTTGTGGTTGTCTGTCATTTAAATGGCGGTGATGCAACATTTAATATAATAGAAAAACAAGTATTGTATTGTTAGAATATCTGTTTCTTAAGCTATTTCCCTTAACTTTACAGAGGTGTATTTTTGTAATACAGATGCATATTAGCTTGTTTTTAACATTTAATAAAATTGCAAAATTGTTCATTTACGTTTAAGGCAGGCAGATAGCATAAAGGAAATGTATTAATTAAAAGGTTTAAATAGAATTTGCTGTGAATTTAAGACTAAGCATAAACACCCTGCGGGACTGCCCCCTCTTGTGGCAGACAGATGTCCCAGCCAAGTATTATACAATTTTGGTCTATAGTGTTTTGCAATATATGGACACAAAATAAATAAATAAGAGATGACAGAATTTTTTTAATTTTCCATCTTTAATGTTTGATAGGTACGTTTTTGAAGCAGTAGTCAACAGTTCATTACATGGAAAGCATGTTGTAATATTTATTGTATTATGCGATACACTGTACGACAGAAACGCCAGATAAATCAATACATTTAGAGGCAATACTCAAATGAATTCACATATCTGCAAAATAAAGAATTTAACACATAAGAGATATTAATTTCTAAATAATATAACTGTGATTTAATATATATTTCATAAATACGTTTTATTTGTTAGACACTTTAATATTTTCATTTGTTTCTTTGATTTTAAAATAATTGTACTATACTCATTTAGTTTTCTTTTTATACATTCATTATCACAATTCCCTTTATTTTGGTTCCGATTTTGACACATTTCTCAAACAACACATTTTTGATGTATAAGCATGAATGGCCCAGTCAGTAAAACCCAATCATTTCACCCAGCGAGGTGTTAAACATCTTTGGAAAGCCTGCGCTGTGACTTGAGGTTTTAATGGTTGCAACATTGTCGGCCTACCAGCAAGCAACAACTCTTCAGAAACAGCATCATACTGGAAGTACAGCACAGAAAGATGAACACATTGGTCTTGATCACACGTCGGACGTCTCTGAGCGCAGCAGAGAGGAAGCAGACAACAGCAGGGCGGTCGCAGAACCGGGTCATCATCATGACAAAACACTGAGGGCGTCTGTTAGCATCTTGAGCTCGTCCTTCACTCCGTCCAGGCCTGCTTGGATCTTCAGTGGGTTGTCAAGCACCTCCACACTGCTGGTGAATGGATCAAACCTCACGGAAAAGGGACGCTTGATTCCCGCCACGTAACCCCTTTGTCAAATATACAAAAGAGTTAGAACCCTCAAAGAAGTCAAAGATGAGTATATGAGCTCTTCATAAATGCAGAGAATTTAAACCAAAATATTTCTTGTGGCCAGTGAAAACTTAATTGACTAGAAAAAAGTTCCCCCAGTTGTAGTTTATCCTATGCATTTTGCACTTAATAAAGACTGGATTATCCTGCTTGTGTCAGTACACACAGGAAATATATTCACTATGGGCCTATACTTCGTCAAACATTCCCGGGCAGATCATTTTCACTGAGTGTGTCAAGGATGCCACATTTTATATTCTAATATAAACCAAATGTTGTGAAAACATTCACTAAAGCTACTTGTTTTGCAGGCTAACATTTGACCCGTTTGCCAGATAAAACTACAGCGTTTTGCCTTGGTAAGAAACACTACATTAGTAACAGCTGTCTTCTGGCAGCTATGGCTGAAGTGTGTGGCCTCAGGGGCCGGCTGGCTGTTCTATGACCTTATCCTTGCATAACCCCCTCTTTTTGTTTTTCTCTACTTCTCTGTGTCTCTCTATGTTCTTGTGTATTTGTGCTTGGGTTTGAACAAGAATGCATGTATGATTCAGTACCTGAATTTTTCCTTGGCATCTGTAAAACTTTCAGAAATGAAGTAGACGGGCTGGTACGTCTGGTCTTGGTAGGGCTGCCTCGCTGCAGCCTCTGGTTCAAACTGCCTTGTCTCTGGTTCATCAGACAGTGAGTGCTGGATTTACATAAAAGAGAAAGATTGAGAGTTACCTGACAGCTCAGGTGGCGGAGAAAACGATCATATTTGAAAGCAGATAACAGAGAGAACATGCTTGAACGTACCACAAGTTCTCCGTAAGAGGAGAGCAGTCCAGCTCCATAAGCCCTCACCTCACCATTCTGTTTGCAGAGGCCGTACTCAACAGTGAACCAGTATAGCTGATGGGAAATAAAATAGATTTACTGAGAGAAAAAAGGATACTGAGGTGGACTATTAAATCATTTTTTCACACATCTTAGGTAAGGGACTGTACAAAAGGGACCAGAGCTGGTTGTGAGTAAAAAAAAGGGGGGGTGAAGTTTTTTGAAGTGTTTGAAGCAATTTCTACACGTTGATAATGTTGTAAATCAAAACAAAACCATGTGGTTAGGTTCAGGAAAACATCAACGTTTGTTGTTTTGGTTTAGTACGTGTGTTGCATAACTTTAGTAAGGCATGTCAGTTAAGAACATCACGTATGTGATGTATATGTTAAGTACGTAACATAAATTAAGTTGTGGAAGTTAAAATGAGTTAATGTTGACCTTTGTTTGTTTGACCCTTACATGCAGCTCAGCCCCTCCCTAGTGGTCTCTTACGTCACCTGACTTCTTTCTTTTCTCCTGTCATAATTGCTACAGCCACTGGAGGTCACCACTTAACAATGAACGTAAATATGTGTTGGAGGACTGAAGTCTTACTGAGGATAGTTTCTCAATATCTTCATCCGAAGCCCCAAGTGATGCCAGACCAAGGTTCTGAAGCACATAATAAAAAGGTTAATAAAATAAATAACACAGCATGCATTATAAGACTGCTCAGGACCTCCACCCTCTTACCTGTGAAAACTGGGCAAAAGTGCGATCAGCCAGCATTGGGACGTGGCCCAGCAGTTCATGTACACAGTCACTAAAGGGAAAGAAAGAGAGATTCAACTGGCACCATATTATATCTAAATGGAAAAACCCTATACAGATATGTTTAAGTAAATACAGACTTTAAGGTACAAATTGTGTTAACAAGAGAAGTGAAGACAGAAGTGTGTTTTTCTTGCAGACTAAACAGGAATTTGAGAGATAACTTTAAGTTCATTGTATATGTTTGCTTTATTATTATTTTAATGGCAATGGCCATATGTTGGATGAGGTTTAATGCGATGAGCAAAGCAAGAGAAGTCACACTCATACTCACGGCTCTGGGGAGTGCATAGGGGACGAGGCGTGTCGGATGTATTGGGTGCACTGGAACACCCTGAATGCCAAACTGGCCAAGAAATCTCTGGCGGAGAGCAGACCTGCCACTGGACGGAGCAGGAACCCTGTTCGCTCTGTTTGAGTGTGTGTTAGGGAAACAATAGATAAAGAGACAAAGAGAAAGAATATAGGTAAATGGAAAGTGTTTTATATAGACTGAACACTTCGGTTTGGTTTCTTAACCCGTCTTTACCTTTGAGGAAGCATGACACATCTTCCAACTGGGGAATGTTGTCTGGACCGTACCCACAATGCCTTTCCAGCAGATGGAGGGCATCGAGGTATTCACTGCAGGCATGTGTGATATACAATTCCCTCAGAGTTGAGTAGACTTCCCTCCTAATTCGGGATTAAATGACATTCAGGTTTTCTTCTTTAACAGAAGACTTTCAAGCATTGAGGTGTAACCATCAATAAGGATAAAATGAGCTGTAAATATAATTAAAAACACTTTTGGGACTGTTTAGTTGTACCATTCTCTGCATTGCAATTTCTCAACATTTTCTATCTTATATTTCTATTTTAAAGTATTGCTTAATCATGTATCTTAATAGCTTTTTAAGTACAATGCAAAACCATTATTTTTCAAATAACTGTCTAACTGGCACGTCATAGACTCAGACATCTTCTTTTGGCAAAACTGTGCACATTAAATCAATCATACAAGTATAAATTCACTTAATTGTAAACTATCCCAT